TCTCTGCTTATTCAAGAAATTTAATGCAGATTTGCCCCAGGCACATTTCTTGATACACATTGACTACCAAGTAAATCTTAAAAGTAATATTTATTTCGGTAAATCAAATATGGCACAGATTACACATCTCTGACCTGTTTTTTCTTCCCTGTTTGTTGCAGAAGGCCGAAGTCTGCACCAGCGGCCGACGGCCCGAATCCCTACGCCTGTCAGGTTCAACTGAGCCTGCATCACAGCACAGACACAGACAAACTACTGGTCACTGTGCATAAAGCTACGTAAGTCTGACTGTGTGTGTGTGTGTGTGTGTGTGTGTGTGTGTGTGTGTGTGTGTGTGTGTGTGTGTGTGTGTGTGTGTGTGTCGTGTAGTGTGTGTGTGTGTGTGTGTGTGTGTGTGTGTGTGTGTGTGTGTGAGTGTGTGAGTGAGTGAGTGAGTGAGTGAGTGAGTGAGTGAGTGAGTGAGAGTGAGTGAGTGAGTGAGTGAGTGAGTGAGTGAGTGAGCGAACAAGTGAGTTAGAGAGTTAAAAAGTCTCTTTCTTATCCATCTAAACTGGATTTTTTCTACCGATTTATCATATGATTCTCAAATCATAACTCATGCGGAATACGTTATGAGCAATGTGTGAAATATTGCTGTCTATTGTTTCCTCCCCTCAGGCCGCTGGTGTGGTCAGGACAAACCGCCGGCCTACCTCAGCGCGTCAAACTCCATCCTGGTCAGGTTCATTTCTGACGGAGCCACGCGGAGAACGGGATTTTCTGCCACTTACTGGTGATCCTGGTGCTCTAACTTGTTTTAGCCTACATGTAGCGTGTGCACACACACACGCACACATACACACGCACGCACACATACACATGCACACATACATACACATGCACATATACACATGCACACATACATACACATGCACACATACACATGCACGCACACATACACATGCACACATACACACGCACACAAACATACACGCACTCATACATACAAGCACGCACACATACACATACGCACACATACACATACGCACACATACACACGCACACATACATACACACACACACACACACACACACAGACACGAAAGCATGTGACCAAGTGGTGAAAGGTTAACATACGATCATTTCATTCATCTCACCAAGTGAAGAATGCAGAAATGTCCACTGTAGCCAGATGTTGAAACTCATTCTGTGTATACGGAAAGGAAATTTTCACTACGGCATGATGACATTTTCCCAAATCTGTGTTTCTCAAGGACGACCACATCTGGGTCTGTGTCCACGCCAGACACAACTGCAGAAATCAACAGCGCCTCCTGCGGCACGCCAGATATTGCACCTTCTCTGACGAGGATCATAGGAGGGACTGGCGCTCGCCAGGGCAGCTGGCCATGGCAGGTATGGGAAAGTATAAGTTATAACCTTAGATGTAACAGGACTTGTTGTTCATGCATTTATAAAAGTGTAAGATGATTCACTACTTTCGATACGTACGTTATAGTGGGCTAGTGACCCCCGTTCGTGTGCCAGGCAGCTTGTGACGCCCTCCGTCTCGGTTCAGGGCATGATAGCATTTCAACTCTTCCTCCATGTGAATGAAAATTTATGCAATTAATGTATACCATGTGCCAACTGTAATACAATGGTCTATGCAGACACATTGACCCCACTTGTTTATTATAAGATGAACAAAAATGTTTCCCTAGGTGTCTCTGAAAGACAGTTATAACGGAGGTCACGTGTGTGGAGGGTCATTGATTGCACCGAACTGGGTCCTGACAGCATCGCACTGCGTGGAAACGTCGTAAGTCATCTGTCACTAGTCTCGACCAGACTTAGTACACTGGTTATATTATAGGGAGAATAATCTACCAGGGTAGATGCTTGCAAACATTTTCATTACGCTTTTTTACTGGACCACTTTAGACTACTTTTACGCTAACCAATCAAAAATAGTAATGACTATACAGTAGTAGTAGTTGATCCTTAGATAAGGGTACACAAAACGATAAGTAAACGGCTCTAACTGGTTTTGATTAGCATATCATCTCTCCCAGGTGACTATGGTACATGTGCAAAAGGTACCCGTTCTACTACTAACGTCTACTACATTGTAGCTTTGCATCCACTATGTACCACGTACTTTGTACCATGGTTCTTCAGATCTAACAACCCATCACGGTGGACTGTACGTCTGGGGAGTCACACCAGGGAGGCCACGGACAGCACACAGCAGGACTTTTCTGTGTCTAGGTAGGTTGGTTTGTTTATTAGTACAACAAAATACGCAGTACAATAAATGATAGATAAAACAGGTGCAGGAGGAGGGAAAAGGTGCGTATAGCTTATACCAGGTCCTCCTACTCTAAATTAATCAAAATTGAAAGAAGATAATACACAGAATCGTATAAAACGATACAGTAAATATGTAAGTATGAACCCAGGAATATTCTGACTGGTTCTCTTTGCACTGCAGCACAGGCGTCGTTGCTATAGATGCACATTGCAGTGCAATGTGAACTAGTCAGAATTGCCCTGAGGAAGGTGGCAGACGGTCACCGAAGCGTCGGCTGTGAATAAGACAATTAGTTGTAAAAGAGTCTCTTTACTCAATAAATTATCAACCTGATAAAAGTATTCACGTATGTTTTTATGTATGTAGGATTATCATGCACGAGAATTACAACATGGCGTCTCTGGACAATGACGTCGCCCTGATGAAGTTGAGCGGGTCCGCTGACGTCAGCACCTCTTACGTCAACACTGTCTGCGTTCCCGACTTCCCCTTCGCGTCTGGGACCGGATGTTACGTCACGGGATGGGGCACAACCGGAAGTACGTGAAAATGCTTTACTAGTACGTTTTATGATGGTTCATATCATCTATTCATATTGACGTATGGTTATTAGCAGACCTTCATTAGGCCATGTTGATTTTTATTATATACAGCGTAGATGACATCTCAGGGCGCATGAATTCTCGTCTGTTTCAAAAAAGAAAAGTTTTTCGACCATACTGTAAATCTTTAATACAAAGCAACTGCAAAATGAACAAAGGTATGCAGTAAATTAAAAAAAAGATATTGGGAAGCGATACTTACGTGGTAGAATACTAAAATCAATCCCAAAAGAGAAGAAGAAAATGTGAAGGATGAAAATGAAGAGTCGATTGTTCGCCATACCATACGAAGAAAATAGTACTTTAAATTCCTAGTCTTTGAGATAACAGCATGTTACCATATCTACAGGCGGCTTGTTAGCTACCACGCTGCAGCAGGCGTACGTGCCCATCATCGCCCGCTCCACCTGTAACCTGGGCTCCTGGTACAACGGCGCCGTCACCAACAACATGATCTGTGCAGGCCACGCCATGGGGGACATCGACTCCTGCCAGGTGACTCAGCAATGCCTCCTTGCGGTTTGTTTTACAGCTGCACAAACACGGCCTTTGGCGCTATATTGATTGTACCGGAAAGACTGTAAACTCTAATATTTAGTTTTTGTACCATGGCAAGACGATGCAACATAATTAACAGCCTGGAAGCTCTTAGGATGATGTCTGACAAACACATAGAAACGTAAGAAACGTAAGACGAAAATCCCTATATCCAAGATTTTCTGTGCCGTGAAGATAAAAGTAAAGTATTGAAGCATCGTTTTTATTTCAGGGTGACTCTGGTGGCCCGCTGGTCTGTTCCAGCGGAGGGAAGTGGTACCAGGCGGGTATCGTCAGTTGGGGGTACGGCTGCGCACAACCCAACCGTCCCGGCGTCTACACCAACGTCAAGAACTACGTCCAGTGGATCCAGGATAAGCTACAGCAGTACTCTTAGACATGCTAGTCAATCAAGCAGTAAGAGAGAAAGAAAACTATCCTAAATCTTTGGTTTCTTCTGTTTTGTTTTGCTTTGTTTTGTTTTGTTTTGTTTTGTTTTGTTTTCTTTTGAGCTGTTTTAAAGACATCCAGTGCAATTTTAGGGCGGCAAAACTGGAATAGAATAGGGCAATCTGTATGATATTAACACCCGTAATAGATTAATTATAAATTATGATGCAATTGACCAAACATCCAACGAAAACCGTGAAAAATCCGGGTTTCACGCGTGCAGACGCAGTGCTTTTCTGCCGACGTTATAACTTACATATCATCACTTTACTCCGCCTACAAAAATATTTTCCTACTTCCATAGGTTAGGCTGAGATCCAGCACAAATATTTGATTATTTTCCTATGATAGAAGAACACACATAACCTATCAGACAAAGATCGATAAATACGTTACATGATATATAACAGCTTTGCAGAATCTGCATGTTCTTGACCTAACGCACTACTTGCATACCGTTGAACGTGCGAACGTTTACCCCAGATTTCCAAACAGAGTATGGGATATATTTCCAGGCTCGCATTCGGGAATTGGTCAAAAATTGTAAATAACGTTTTTATGCATCAACTATCAATGAGAAGAAAATGAGAGAAAATTTGGTCACTAGTGTTGTTGCATACCAAAATGCGTTTAATTCCAAAACAATTTTTGGAATGCTTTGAAATGGAATGTATTTTTATTCCGAAACATGATCCATTCCAGGACATCTTTTGGAATAACATGAAGTGGAATGGATGTTGTCTTCCAAAACGTGATCCATTCCAAAACATGAGTTTCTTAATCACGTGTTCCTGGTTCTAGCGCAAACCCTAACCTAAACAAGTGCATACACATACATACAGACAGAAAGACAGACACACACACACACACACACCGTGGAGGAATTCCAAAACATGTTTTGGAATAACACCTTTCGGAATGCAACAAAGAGACGTTAACAAACACTCTGTATACAGTGCCGTGTATATGCATAGTACATTGTTACATGTACGGATGTGTACATAGATCGGGCTGCTCAGTCAAACATCCTGACATACACATAACGTAAAAAGCACCAGTGTAAGCATCACTGGTTGCCAAGGGTCGTGTTGTTTATGTGTATGACCATATGGTATAAAGAGCCTGCACGCACAGTGGTACCTCTCTGACTTTTTCCAAGGGAAGAACTAGACGTCACCATGTGGTTGTTGTGCCTAGCAGCTTGTGCCATTGCCGTCCATGCACAAACAGGTGAGCGACTTTTCAATGGAAGTGGGCAGAACCCCTCTTTAATATTTGTTCTGTGCCTTTCTAGTGCAGGGTGCTCTAACTCGAGTTTATTATAGCTATTTATAGTTCCTAAATACCATGTAAATATATTCTTTGCAGTTATATTAGTGCAGTTTGTAGTAAACATTGCTTTATTTTGAATTTCACCACACTATTAAGAAAAGTTTGAATCTTTACTTCTGGATAAAATAAGAAAATAATGTCAGACGTTTCAGACGCCGTCCGGCATCTTTCATCAGTGAAATATTCAAAATTATTTTCTTATTTTATCCAGAAGTAAAGATTCAAACTTTTCTTATTAGTATTATCCTGGATGATTAATCTTCACAAACGTTTCACCACACTATGTTTATATTTACTCGTAGTGTGACTGAAGCTTGTAGTAAATCGTGGAAATTGAGAGCCAAATTGGCCAAATAGAGAGATAGCATGCCAGGGTGCGGCAAACTGTACTCTCTAGCGGACCAACTCCTCTGGCATGTTATCTCTCTATTTGGCCAATTTCTACTCTTCCAAAGCCCGATAGAGGCTATGTCGAACCGTAAGAGAGCCTGTTTTGTGGTGTTCTAACAGACTCCGGTTGTGGGTCTCCCCACGTCATGGGCGGGGAGTCTGGGACCATCATGTCCATGAACTACCCGTCCAACTACGACAACAACGCCGCCTGCGACTGGCAGATCATCGTGGCAGATGGCAAGACCGTGTCCGTCACGTAAGGTTACCTCTGTTTGTTTTGTTTTCAGAGCTGTATGTTGAAAACCTAACAGTGTGTAACGTTACAATGAGTAATACCCTGGGGATGGTCGGTGATTAAAAGTAGATTGTCCAATAGATGTCTAACAATTCAATGCAAAGAATGAAGACTCAAACTTAACTTTTATACCCTGTCTTTTCACTTAATTTTGAATAATGTTTCCCACAGATTTGAAAACTTCAACGTTGAATCTCACTCTTCCTGTGGATATGACTACGTCGCCCTGTGGGACGGAGTGGAGGATGCTACTGCAACCTACATCGGTCAGTCGCGCGCGCAAACACCCGCTCACATACCTGACAGTATACGTAAATCTTTGTATTTAGCATAGAAATATAGATTCAGTGAACTGCTTGTAGTGGTCTCGTCAGGTTATCAGATGATCTGATATAGCAAGAACTTCTTCGTATTAGGGGTCAAAGGTGGCCTGAAGCCTGTACCGCCCCCCTGCTCGTTTAAGTTGATCTCCAAGCAGATGTTTAGGTGGCCGCAAAAGAAGGTATCAAATTGTCTAAGCAGTATCCATTGGCCAGACTGTAACCATTTGCCAGCATACAGTCTGGCCAATGGATACCGCTCGGCCAACTTGATACTTTTTGCGGCCACCTAAACATCTGCTTGGAGATTACCGCTTTCCCTCCTTCACAGGAAGTTATTGTGGGACATCTCTGCCGCCCAGTGTGACGTCACTCGGGAACAGCATGTGGATCCGTTTCCGGTCCGACTCGTCCGTGGCCCGGCCAGGGTTCAAGCTGACCTACCAGGCCAGGGCGCCCAGTGTAGCTGCACTGGCTTCAGGTACTGTATTCACACCACTTTCCATTTCCAGTTCATTTTGTAACATTATTATTATAATAGTGCATGGGCCATAGGCGATATCGGTGGTGAGGTGGCAAATTCTCATTATGATATTTTTTTGAAAAGTAGGGTGACTGTGGAATATATTTTGATACGATAGATGATGAAGATTAGTAGCTTTGAACTGGATATCTGACCTTGAACTTTGACCCCATATGGACCGAGACTACCTTAACCTATGACTCATTGATTGACTGTGTGATGCTGAGTTGTCACTTTAGGGTACGGAGGTACTGTTTTGGGTGGCTGAGCTGTGGTTTGTGTGCCGGGTTGTCCGAACAACGTAGTTTGGCAGCTCGTGAGTGGGAAAGACGGACATGCAGAATGACAAGAGGTCAAAGGGTCAGCATTGAAACAGGAAAATGGGTGCAAACTAGACCTGCTAGAAGGTCTTCCCACAAGTCTGAAATCTTGTTCTGACTGTTCTAACCCATCTCTCACCCATGATCTAACCAGACTGTTACACCGGGAACTCCGTGGACTACCGCGGGACACTGGCCGTGACTCAGACCGGGAAGACGTGCCAACGCTGGGACTCCCAGTACCCTCAGTCACACAGATACAACCCTGTGGTACGTTACACCAGCTATGTAACCCTCGGTGCTGAGATTTTCTTATAGACAACCAGTAATTCCCTCACGTTTAGATGTCTATTAGACACCTTCCTCAGAGCTTCTTAGTGGATTTCTACTTCTTGCCACTTATTACATGTGAACACCGAAAGTTAACCAAGGTGATGGTGATTGTGTATAAGAGAATCCCAATACTAGTATGATCCTACGTACTGCCAACCTGATGCCAACTATTCTTGTTACTTAAGGTTCACTCACATGCACACCGATATTAGGTTCCCTCACATGACTCAGAAGAGGACTAAGTACATGCACACCATGGAGAGCGAGGGTAAGCCGAAGAGGGTTATGTAAAAGATAGTTAAAATTACTCATAGGAAATTCAAACTCTACTACTGGATGAATTACGGAGATAACATCCAGACGTTTCGAGTGATATCCATCACTCGATCTCCGTAATCTATCTAGTAGTAGACTTTGAATTTCCTATGAGTCTTGTTTACCTGGATGTCTAACCTTCATGAACGGATTGTTAAATTGTTTTGTTCTTTGCTCTAGTTCTACCCTCAGTACGGGTTGGACGAGAATTACTGCCGTAACCCTGACCAGGACTCAGGCGGCGTGTGGTGCTACACAACCGACCCTAACACCAGGTGGGAGTACTGCGACCTCAGCTCAGGATGCGGTACGTTTACCTACTTTTTACACCTTGAAAACTTGACATGTCTAAAACTTCGCATGTCACTAATACTTCAATGCTGTGGTGGGGGTATGAGATCACCTTCAGACGAAAATGGATCCCGATATTCTCAATTAGCCTTATAAGGATGTTTGCACTCACGTGACTATGACGTAGATATTATCCGCCATATTGGATCGTTCAATTTCTATCTGCAAGATAGAAGTAATTGTTACATCATACACGTGCAAGTTTGTAGTTCTAAGCTCTTCCGGTTTCTGCTAGCTATCATGGGAACTTTGGCGTCAGTTGCAAAGACACTCTAGTAGCAGTGTTTTTTTTTTTTTCTTAGCTGGGGGTACCACCACCACTCAGGCTCCCACCACCACCACCACAACCGCTACCGGTACCGGTACAGGAGACGGTACCTGCGGTGTTCCCGCCATTTCCCCCATCCTGAGCCGCGTCGTGGGGGGTGAGGACGCCAGGCAGGGGAGCTGGCCATGGCAGGTAAAACTTGGGGCACATACATAGCGTCTACCGGGCTTCAGAAGCGGCTGGGAAGGGTAGACATTGGCCAAATAGATACTACAACATGCCAGAGTAGTTGGTCCGCTAAAGGAGTACAGTTTGCCTCCCCCGAAACTGAAGCTCTCGAGAGTTAAACTAAATTTTACTATTCTTTTCAGTCGCTTATGAAGCCTGGCTGAGGCTACCAGTCACATACATTCTAGGCAAGTGGTACATGTACGATCTTGATGCCGCAGTATCATATGCATCAAGTAGACTGTGACAGACCGAACCACTGACAAGGATCTGAGGTAGCCTCTTCTGTAAGAAGACTTTTCTAGGACAGTGGCCGGGCCTGATTGCTCATACGCAAGCTCAGTTGCGTGGATTAGTTATCATGCATGACAAAGACTCCTACACAGCCATAAAAGCTAGCGAAAGTCCCTTGCAGAAACGGATATATTTTCTATTCCTGCAGGTATCGATGCTGCTGTACGGCAGCAGCCATGTTTGTGGTGGCTCCATCATCGCTCCCAACTGGATCGCTACCGCCGCTCACTGTGTCGACAGGTGGGGCGACTAGTGTGCTAATGTGAACAGTAGCCTGAGTTGTAACACTCCTGCTAATAATCGGTTTTCAGATCTAGAAACTGTAAGGTTCCAGCTACATGCAGAAGTCCTGGTGGTGGAAAGAAGATACCGGTGTACTTTTGTTTTGAATGACTGGAGGTTGTTGTCGGTGATCAGGCCGACAAGCGTAGAATGTACATTGATAACATTCAAAGTTTCCATTACAAATGAATAAAAATTGGTAAAACCTTAATATCGAAACTTATCATTGACAATTGGCCACCATGTAACCTACAGGGGGAAACAGGTGGCCAATATAGACTCCCCTAACCCCCGATGACCATCTGTTAGTAGTATATTCCTCAGTCAGTGACTCTTTTGACAGGTAGCACGTACCTCCAAATTTTTGATGTCCACTATACATCTTGCTCACGGAGTGACCTAGTCTAGGTCGAGACTTGTGTGGATCTTCTGGCCTCCTCCGCTACCTTGCGATAATAGGTCACTCCGTGAGCAAGATGTACAGTGGACATCGAAAACTTGGAGGTAACGTTACGTGTTTCTACCTGTCAAAACAGTCACTGATTGATGAATGTTCTACTAACTGATAATTCTACGTGACTGATGAACCTCTTCAACGATTACCATCTGTTTCTACTGCCGGCCCCACCAGTAACCGTTCCCCCGGCTCCTGGACGATCCGTGTAGGCAGTCACCGCCGCCAGTCCACCGACTCCACCCAGCGGGACCACGCCGTTAGCAGGGTCATCATGCACGAGAACTACAACTCAAAGTTTGTTGCACCAAAGTTATTTCTGTTGGTAGTTTTAAAACACTGTAGAATTGTGATTATTGTGTTAAGGATGATATTAACAATTCAGTCTCTATTCTTAGTGTCAAAAGTGTATGGCATATGGCTGCATGGTTAACCACTCCTGTTGAAGTCTTAATTCTCATGTCGCTTTTCTGTTTACATACCATTAGTAACGTTTATTATCTTTTACGAAGAATGTTCAGCTGCCCTGTTGCAACCTTCTTCAGGTTTGAATGAATGGCCAATCACGTGCGTGTAGGGCACGTGACCTTGCGAACACGAGACTTCAGTGATTGGTCAAAAGTGTCAGAAACTTTGCAGCCCGGACATTAAAGCTTATACTTTATAATGTATTGGCGTCAAGGAAAAAAGCGAGGAAAACTAGTAGTAATTTTACGCCAAAAAGTAGTTAATTATTACTCAAGCAACTGGATATCATTTTGGAAACGGTCAGACATTTCAGCTAGTATCCACTAGCTTTCGTCAGTGACTGAGAGACCAGAGGAGAAATGCAGGTTTATAAGCACAAAGTATTGATTGATATGCAAATAAGTGAAGACAAATAGTAGTAATTTTCCTTAATTATGTCCTCGCTATGACAGCCTTATTGATAACGACATCGCCCTAATGAAGCTGTCCAGCAGCATCACGTTTGATGACTACGCCAGTCCTGTGTGCCTGCCTACAGTTGACGTCACCGGCGGGACCATGTGTTACACCACCGGCTGGGGTTCCACCGGCGGTAAAATGACTAGTTTTCTCCTTTTCTTGATTTCTCGCGATCTTACTCTATCTCTCTCTGTCTTTCTTCTCTCAGGTTCTCTCATTCCCTCGCTTTCTCTCTCTTTCTCTCTGTCATACTCTCTCTCTCTCTCTCTCTCTCTATATATATATATATATATATATATATATATATATCTGGTTCTCGATTGATCAATCGAACAAGTTCTGGTGTGATTTGTCATTATCTGTTCGAGCAAAAACCTCTCCAATTTGCTATTCAATGTTTTATAGAAGATACATATTGGTTGTAGTAACGTCACATATAGAAAGTCTGATAGAAACTTATTCACATAGCATTTTCCAGTGTTTAACCCCGCTACTCCTTATATATCCTTATACAATGAATCTGTAACAGGATAGATGAAAACTGCTAAACGTTTCAAGTAGCATCCACTACTTTTCGTCATGACTGCCATATGGCAATATATGTCAATGACAATAAACAGTGGATGCTACCTGAAAAGTATTGTGTATCTTGCGCCAGAAAACAGTTACTCAAGCAGCTAGATGTGATTTTGGAAACGGCCAAAATGTCTAACCCTCACCGACGTATCTTGTGTATCTTATTATCTGGATGTATAACCTTTATCGAAGAACCTATATCTTTGCTAACTTGATATCCACTAGGATCCAGTCTGCCCAACATCCTGCAGCAGGGTAAAGTACCGGTCGTGGACAGGTCCACCTGTAACAGTGGCAGCTACTACAACGGGCAGATCACCAACAACATGATCTGTGCTGGCTACAGACAGGGAGGCGTCGACGCTTGTCAGGTAACACCAGTGCCGCCATATGCATGTGCCGGCTTGTTGTAAACATCGCTATGTACTGGCGCAAATTCACAATATACCTGCTTTGTATTCCTATGGTTTAGTAGCATTTTTATTTTTGGCCGGAATTTTCTTTTATTCGCCCGCGCGCACTAGTTTTGGGGTCTTCAGAGGATGTCATCCATAAAATTAACTCGGTGTGGCCTAACGTAAAAATGCTGAAAAGACATATATACATGAAATAGAGATATTGCCATGTGAACCTCCAGCTGACGCTGTTTATATATGATAAGTTAATGGTCCATACCGTGATATCGGAACAAATATTAGCAGGCATATCAGGCAGATATGAGGCACTAGATAAACATATTACCCACGTGTGCAACAACTACTGAGGCAGATACATAACGCGCCACTGCGTACATAGGTTCCTATAAACACTTTAGGGGCTTTATGAATATACTGGAAAGGGTTACTAGTAATGTTAGAGTGTTACTCGTACACGGTTTATTCCATAGATTTGAAAGATTCCAACCAGTCATCACATATAACGATATATGAATATCCTTCTAAAGGCGTCAATGTATCACATATATAGTCATCAAATATATATCATCAAAACGTCAAATAAAACCTATAATTACTATCAATAGTTCATTGTAACATTCTAAGTTTTGCTTTACAGCAATATCTATTTGTATACATTATCACTGGTAGGAATAGTACTATCAAAAGACAATGTCAAAGAGAATGTGTCGATTCCATTGAAATAACAGAATAAAATGGGTGTTTGTTTCCAAATGTTACAGGGTGACTCCGGCGGACCTTTCGTGTGTAACTACGGCGGACAGTGGACCCTGGACGGGATCGTGTCCTGGGGTTACGGCTGTGCGCAGGCCTACAAGCCCGGGGTCTACACGCGCGTCACGAACTACATCTCCTGGATCAACAACAAGATGGCGACCTACTAGATCTACAGGCACACAGCCTCGCAATCTCACACAGCCTCGCAATCTCACAGAGAAAGCACAGATGAGATCGGGACACCGGTTGCCTGAGAAAAAAAATAAAAGAACCAGTAGCCTACACTGAATACTGTCTTATCATTGTGTAATTCGTACATGTACGTGTATTCTTCTTTATAACGATGGCGTTGTAGGTTGGGTGTACTTGACTGTGAATGAATGAATGAACACAAAAAATGAATTAACACATATAAGATACAAAAGTTTAAAAGAGCTTGGGAAGCAGTATATATCGTCAACTATGATACATATTATGCATCGTCAAGTTATGATACACATTGTAGGTATATATTTACTGGCCGAATGCCATGTGAACATACCCCTTGCAAATGGGTTATTGGGTTTAATATAAAAGTGAACGATCGAACTGTAGTGATACTATGATCTGGTGCAAATTTGTACACCTCACTTCTCGGTGCAGTGAGGGCCTCTGGCGGTCAACTCACTTACTGCAACATCCACATCGCGGACGAAGAGAGTAAAGAGAATATATAAAATTTACACACAAGCAAATTAATGATTTCTATTGTAATTATTGACCCACATCTGTGAGAAGTCTTTGCAGTAAGCTGTGTGTCTATTTACACATGGTACATCCTTATAAAGAAACAGAGCATAGTCAAATGCACATCAACACAAAAAAGACTTGGTTGTCCAAATGAAATACAAAACATAAAGAGCACACTATTTTTTTTTCAAATCGATTCAAGCTCATACAGTCACTCAACGATACCCAAATCATAATATATGACTTATATATATTCGAAATATTCGAATAATGATAAAACTACATATATCCGTGGTCGACCGATCCGTGTTATGTGTGTGTGATTGTGTCGTGTATCCACGTGAAGAAATTGTCTAATTTCGTGTAGACGCCCGGACGGTTGGGTTGGGCACAGCCCCATCCCCATGACGTCACTCCCACTTGAATCCATCTCCCATCAGGCTGTTCGCACACTAACGGTCCCCCGGAATCGCCCTGTAAGAACATGACTGAGCTTAGTCGGAGTCAATTCAGTTAGAACACGCAAAGAAATGCTACAGGGGATACATGTATATGCAAGCTATTGTTTTGCTTGCTGTGACCTGAACGTATCCCTGAATGTACAATTAAGGTCCATTCATTCATTCAACTAGTGCTAATATTATAAAAACAAAACTGAGAAGATAATCAATATAGAAAAATAGGAAGCGTTACCTGGCACGAGTCCACGCCGCCGCCCGGATGCCCTGCGCAGAGCTGATTCTCCGTGACGATGCCGTTATACCAGGGGGCGGAGTTACAGGTGTGGATGTCGATGATTGACACCCGGGCATGTCTCAGCACCAGCGACCGGCCACTCCCTGCACCTGCGATGTTAGAAGCATATCTTTACTTCCGGATATGGAAGTATTGTCTTTGAGGGGCTGAGCTGTGGGTTTGTGTCTCTGCTTGTCTCAATAGCTACAGCTGTACGGTGGGTGAAGGGTGACTTAGACAGTTGATTTATAGAAAGCCAGCACAGCACAGGCCAGGTGATTGGTATAGGGGAATTCAAGAAGAGGTGTAATACCCGATTAAATTACATCATACAATCCTCACCATAGTATAATTATATATATATATATTTGAAATGATGGATTTAGTAAGACAAAGAAGGAATGGTACCTGTGTCTCCCCACCCAGTGACATAACACGCAGTTCCCGGATGTGGCAGGCTATTCGGCGCCAAACAGATAGTTTTCACGTAGTCATTCAGCGTCGCGTCGTTAGCCAGCTGGATCAACGCTATGTCGTTGTCAAGGGTGTCCGCAGTGTAGTTCTCGTGCATGATAACGCGAGATATCGCGAGGTTCTGTTCGCTGACGTCATGAAGAAGGCGAAAGTAGTTTCCCAGACTGACTTGCCAGAATCCTAGGTCGTTTGGTGTGGCATAGCTAGTACGCAACATCACATCAACATAAGAGAACTAGCATATCTTCTGTGTTTAATATATATAGTTTGAAACATACAAAATTGATAGATTCAGCACTCAGCTAAGAATCATACTAAACTCCATTCTAAGCACTTGTGTCACTGCTATTATTTTTTGGTTAAACAACATAAAGGTACAAGACACAGCGATGGACAACTCTTGTGGGAAAACGAGCCCGCAAACTTGAGCTGATTTTGACATATTCTGTAGGTAGTACCCTGTACTCGAAGATATTAAATTGTTGTAACTTGCTTGTGCACCATACTATAAATTTTACATCGTCGAACCCTCTCACTTTGGGCTCCCTTAGAAATCCCAATAGCCATAGGGCGAAAACTGTGTCCTGTGACCTCACCTTTCTACACAATGTGCCGCGGTGAGAACCCAGCCCGTAGAGATGAGTGAACCTCCACACACGTGACCGGACCCCTGAAGCTTCAGGGACGCCTGTCCGAACAGAAAAATACCACCAACACTGTAAACCAAAACATTAGAGTGGCTCTCATGAGCCTTGTTTTGTGGTAAATATGAAGTAAATAAAATAACCAAATTTTTATCCTAACCTGCCATGGCCAGTTCCCATGTCGAGCCACCTGTCCGCCGACGATTCTGGACTCCGACAGTTGAATGTAGGGCCTTCCGCAATCGCCAGGAGTCGCTGTGGTACCGGAGGTTTGCAAGGTGCCAGTTGGGAGGACCTGGGTGGTCAGGGCTTCTCCTGCGTCGTCATTGAGCAAACAAAAAAAAATATGAACGAAAAGAAATGAGAGTTAAGTAAACCGTTCATGTTAGTTCCTCTCACTTCCAACAATTCTACTTCTAGTGTCTTTGTCTAAAAAGCTATAAAACAACTTTGGAGCCATCTCCGTTTTTAAACCATGTCGTGTGATACATAAGGCTATGTTTGATTCTATGGATGACATTTATATATGTATACTCATTTATTTATTTAGTATATCGTAAAAAGAAGCTGCAAAATAAGCAAATATTTGCAGTAAATTGAAAAAGGAATATTGAAAAACGTGGCAGAATACCAATGTAGCAGAATACCAAAATCAATTACGAAGGAATCAGTTTTGGGATTCTCAGTAGATGCCGTCTACATAATGAACTCAGCATGGCTTAAACAGTGCTGGGCCATTGCCGCCTGACCAGGGGGCCAATATCTTCTTAAGAGTGATTACCGCTTTTGACAGTTTGAAGACGTTTGTTAGATTAATCCTGCCCCCAGCTTACCGCAGGGCTGTATGTCACAATACTCCCATCGCGTGTCGGGGTCCGTCGTGTAGCACCAGGGATTGCCCGGGCCGTTGTCAGGGTTACGGCAGAAGTTTTCCACCAGGTCGGCATCGGGATACAACTGGGGCAAACGTCAGTCAACCAAAGGTTAAGTTGGATCACAGAACTCAGACATACTCCCGAACTTACGCCTTAACTTCTCAAACTGTGGCGTGTGGCGTAGCGGTAGCGTGTTCGGCTCTGAAACAAAATGTCCCGAGTTCGAGTCCTACCTTGCCGCCGATCTTGTGCCCTTGGGAAAGGCACTTAACACGACTTTCCTCACTCCGCCCAGGTGAAAATGAGTTCCTAGCTTTGGTTAGGGACGTCCCTCGGATAGGACGTTAAATGAAGGAGCCATACCCTATGCACGTTAAAGAACCCAACACACCTTTCGAAAAATGTATGACAGGTGCCAGGCCTTAAGCTTACCCATGGGAAGAACGTGTGTGTGTGCGGGGCCTGTTCATCCCATCGCTGACAGGTCCGTCCCGACGCCGCCTCGGACCGGTTACCCCGGTAACCGCCGGAGGACGGGCCGCTCCAGCACTCAGACGAACCGGTGGTGACGTCTGTACAAAATGACAAGAAATTGGAGACTTCAGACCATCAGAAAGTATTTTTACTTTTGTTAATTCATTGGCAATTGCAATACCAAAGAAATGCTAACGGGGATGAGAAATTGTTATCAACCGTAAATTGTTATCAACGGTAAATTTAAACAGTGATCGTCTAATATAACATCTGTCATGTTTTAACACGTTAAAGCACTCATGTTAAAACACTCAAGATCTGAATAAGCCTAGGTTTTGATCATTTAACAACTTAGTCATAAAATAGATCTGGATCTTACAGTTCGAGGTTTGAAAGACAGACTTACTTAATGCCGTGCTTGTCTGAGAGACTACTGTGACCACCACAGTCAGTAGAACCAACACCAGTGTAGCCCACAACTCCAACATGGTACTCCAGAAAAACTCCTAACAGAGCTGAATTCAAAACTTTCCTAAGAGAGAGGCAACTGTAAGACCTTTTTATTGCTTCCGATGATAACATCACTAACTTACACCTCCTCCGATTGGTTCATTGCACTTTTCTAACCAATCATGAAGCAGATTACATCGCTGATAGCTCAGATAGGGCTTATCATCTGCTAACAAGTAAGCATTGTTAATTGTACTGGTAAACAATTAGTCATTCTTGACATAATACAAACTTGGGGTCAAAAACAGAGGGCTTGTGTCAAGTAGCATGTTACACAATACTAATTTATCATTCTAACAATTAGCCCCTTTATACGTATATCTCTTTAGTATGATTTCCGAGCAGAAAACCTGGTTTCTCACGGTAGAATTGGTATGTTCTAGACGCTGCTATGACAATGTTGGCATGTGTTTGTCTTGTGGTTTACTCCGTTACTTTTTATGTGCTATATGCGCATGGAAACAGTTAGCAGACAATGGTTCATTTTTGACACTTAATATTAACTACGTTTCCTGAGTCCATTCAGAGTTCTTATTGTTCTCAATTGTTTGTTTTGGAACATAACATTTTGCAAGCCACGCGCGCAGGTGCCTGACTTGGCAACAATGAAACAATGAAACATAGATTGATCCAACTTACTACATTAAAGAAATGACCAGAAACATGACTTAGAAATCCAGTGTTACTTTTCCGAAATCGCTTTAGGTGCCTTGATCAATCCGTTTCTTAACTCTCTGTGCAGAAAACCTCGTCACCGTGAACACACGAGAACACACACACATGTACATCTTACTCTCTCATTGCCCAGGTGACAGCTCAGGCGTTTATACAGCCGGCAGATAAACGTATCAGGCAAAGATAACGCCGAAGACAATGGAGAATGGTCTACAAAAATGCTTGCAAAGCAAATACAGAATCCGCCATCTCGGAATTCACGAGTTGTTTATTTTGTCGTCCTGTATCGCACGTGACGATAGTAAAAGTGATTCTTACATTGCAATTTTACGGAGATGATTATTACAATGCTGCTGCAAGTGAAATATTATGACTATGAGCTGTTGATAAAAACGGGGCCACGTATATGAAAACAGGGACGAGTAGACGGTCCTGCCGTCTTTAAATCCATCCATCAATCAATCAATCAATCGTTCAAACGTCGCCAAGTTAAGTACCCATAAGTAGCCCTCAGAGTAGCAGGCCCATTGTACTAGTGTATTGCTTACGTATTATTTGAATGCGGATTTAATCCTCAAATTCCCTAACCAAAGCTAGGTTCTCATTTACACCAGCGTGAAGTGAGGAAAGTTGTGCAAAGTGCTTTCCCAAGAGCACAAGATCGGTGGCATCAGGCAGGATCGAACCCAGGATCTCTTGGATCTGAGCTATCTACCGTGGTCTATCTACCGTTACGCCACACGACGCCACTCTCCCCACCCACCCTTTATTACATATCTTACTTTACGAGTCTTAAGACACGATGGGACGTCGGACTCCAGTCTTCATCGCCATAGTGACGATTCTTCTGACTCTAGGTAAGTTTGTTCTACCTCCTGTACGTTATATACCCCCAGGGAAGAACCCAGTAGGGGATGCGGGGATTGTTGTAAGTCACGTTTTCGTCAGCACAAACAGAAACGGTCCACATTGTCAGACATGTTTTGTACGTCCAAGGCTTATGTCTTGGTGGGGGAGAATCGCTGGACTAAAAACAACCTTACAAAACCGTGCTGGAGACAAACGTCTCAAGCCCTGCACTGGAACGACCTCTGTATTTGAGAACTCATATGTCAATGAAAGTGTTACATAACAACAATGGAAAGAATAGTTAATCAATTTACCTCGAAAGAGGTATACGCTGCAGCCTTTATAAAATGTGCCAAAATAGGACACTCATTGGAAACGTTGCTGTCGGTGTGACGTTGAGTTACGTTCTACGCTTGTAGCATGTTTAAAGTCATCTTGATCGATCTTGCCCCCACTCGTAGCCCTCCCTGATCTTGCCCCCACTCGTAGCCCACCCTGATCTTGCCCCCACTCGTAGCCCTCCCTGATCTTGCCCCCACTCGTAGCCCTCCCTGATCTTGCCCCCACTCGTAGCCCTCCCTGATCTTGCCACCACTGGTAGCCCTTCCTGATCTTGCCCACAATCGTAGCCCTCCGTGATCTTGCCCCCACTGGTAGCCCTCCCTGATCCTGCCCCCACTGGTAGCCCTCCCTGATCCTGCCCCCACTCGTAGCCCTCCCTGATCCTGTCCCCACTCGTAGCCCTCCCGTGATCCTGCCCCCACTCGTAGCCCTCCCTGATCCTGCCCCCACTCGTAGCCCTCCCTGATCCTGCCCCCACTCGTAGCCCTCCCTGATCCTGCCCCCACTGGTAGCCCTCCCTGATCCTGCCCCCACTGGTAGTCCTCCCTGATCCTGCCCCCACTCGTAGCCCTCCCTGATCTTGCCCCCACTGGTAGCCCTCCCTGATGATTTTCACTACAGCGCTTTTGAATGCAATCCACAACTTTTGCTACTATATATTACGTAACAATATATGTAACTCAATCCAAGGAAAGACAGAACGTATACAAATGCTTAAATTGGAATATCATGGTATTTTTTTTACATGCACTTGTACCTGTTTGCATACATAGGCACAGATACAATGTAGACTTTGTACATTTCACTGTTAGCCAATTGCAAGTTTGTAAACTTTCTGTGCACTTTGGCCTTGTTTACAGTCGATAACAAGTGCTTTCGGGCCAAGCTATATATAAGTCACGATAATCTTATCATCTTTTACAGCAACAACCGAAGGAGCAATTGTATCAACTCATAAGCCATCCACTAGCATAGTGCTACCCAACACGACTAACACAGCCCAGTGGCACCCTAATACAACCAGCTCAAACCAGTGGCACCCTAATACAACCAGCTCAAACCAGTGGCACCCTAATACAACCAGCTCAAACCAGTGGACAACCTAATACAACCAGCTCAAACCGGTGGCAACCTAATACAACCAGCTCAAACCAGTGGCAACCTAATAAAACCAGCTCAAACCAGTGGCAACCTAATACAATCAGCTCAAACCAGTGGCAACCTAATACAACCAGCTCAAACCAGTGGCAACCTAATACAACCAGCTCAAACCGGTGGCAACCTAACACGACGCACACGCCCTGCTCCGGGTTCTTGTGTGACGACGGTGTGACGTGTATTCCGGAAGGGGGCGTCTGTGACGGTACCGTGGATTGTTTGAGTGGCAGTGACGAGGCCAACTGTGGTAAATGCAGCACTTTATTTTTCATTCTCACTATGTTTTGGAAAGTATTCCTTATAATGCAATAGTAACACATTTGTCACAAATACAGAAACCGGTGTTCCAAAGTAAAACTTTTGTTCCCGCACAAAAGGTAAATGTTCTCACATAGAGCTTTCGACCAGTCTCTCTGGTCTTCTTCAGTAGACTGACCCAGTCAGACTAGTCACGTGACTTCTATGAAGTGTTACGTCAACACTGGGTCAAAAGTATATGGTAAACGATGTCGGCCCCCGTCGCGGTTGAGAAAAAGGGTGATGGGTGCTCATTTAAACAGCTGCAACTGGTGATATCTGGTGATAGACTTATGTCTTTTTTTCAGGATTTCCCCTGTACCGTATTCTCTCCCAGTTTTACAGTGTCACAGAGCTTAACCGATTCATGTTATTTTCAGTCACGTATGAAGAAGACTGCGGTAGTCCTGCTGTTCCCCCGTACTTCGGGCGGATTGTGGGCGGGCGGGAGGCCAGGCGCGGCAGCTGGCCGTGGATGGTGTCTCTCCGCCGGAGAGGGTTCGGCCACTACTGCGCCGGCTCTCTCATCTCTGACCGCTGGGTGCTGACGGCTGCGCACTGCTTTGACGTGTGAGTAAATGTCAATCCACTTATTGCCGCTGTGGGGCGCTTTTAAATTGATAATTAGCGCTACTTGATTGTATACAGTATTATCTCTAGATGTTTAGTAATTAGGATGTTAACTTTCATTCTATACCCTTTTCTTTTTGTACTTTGTTCAGTAGTCGTTGCCATACATTGTACCCTGTACAAGTGTCGTGCAAAAAAGTTCTTCTATGATCAAATCAACACGGCCTAAGTGACACGTTTCTCACTTGTTGTGCAGATGGCGCAACCTAACCGCGTGGCAGGTTGTCCTGGGCAACCACCACAGGTCATCTGATGACGTCACGCAGCAAATATTCGATCTGGATGACGTCACGATTCACCACTACTACCGACAGGTATGAGTACTTTCTACAACAAACTATGTCCATATTCGGTGTTTCTTGAATCTTTGAATTCAATTTCCATGGTTCAGACTTTGACCGTTTAAGTGTCGAATTTTCTTGTACAATTACTGTTGTGATTTTTATCACACTTATTATGTTTCCCGAAGAAAAAAGGTTTTTGCTTAGTTTCTTTTTCCTCTCCAAACAAATAAGGTCAATGACGTGAACCAGACGACTGTCACCATGGTAACTAGTGTTGGGTTACATTATGTTGCAATTTTATTGCATGAGGGATTTAGACTCCTGTCTGGCCATATATATGAATGTGTTTGAGTAAATTTAGCCAACTTTTTTTTTAATCAGGCGAATATTAAGACGCGCTGATGTCATTCATAAAAATTACCTGCTGTGGCCTTACCTTGAGCTTTAACTTGACTTTGAATCTCACCCCCCTCCCTCCCACAGGTTACCAATGATTTTGACATAGCGCTTGTAAAACTCGCTGGGCATGCGCTGCTGGGTGACTACGTCAACACGGTGTGTCTCCCCGGCCCGAGTGATAAACTACTGGAGGACCAGACATGCGCAGTGACCGGGTGGGGAGATACCAGAGGTAAGGGCCGTGATTCGACTAAACAATGTTGTTGACTGAGAATGAAAAATAAGCAAGAAATTCGTTTTTAAAAGCAACATGTATAACTAGAAAGGTACTAATTGCAAAGCAAATTTATATTTAAAAATGCATAATGCTTACCTTCACATAGACAAGAGGAAGAAGATGAACCATAGCAAAAATAAGCTTTTGTATCGTACAAATTCATTTAGTTTGACCAACAATAATTTTGTTTAATAATTTTCGAATTGTATATCAATATTTGTTGATCATATTTTGTGTCATATGCAGGTACAGGAGACGATACGGTATTACGTCAAGCTCTGGTTCCCGTCATCCCTCGCGACATCTGCAACCGGCCGGAGTATTACAGAGGAGACGTCACGACCAGGATGCTTTGCGCGGGATACGACACGGGAGGAATTGATTCCTGTCGGGTCAGTAATTATTTCATTTTCAATTGTTTATTTTATGATGATATCAAAAATTAATTATTTACCATCATGTCCACAATTCGCCCTTCCTTTTACGTTATTCCTTACTATGAGAAATGTACTACGAAAAACTTAAATCAACGAACCCACACATCATAGAAGAAGTGGGCAACTTCGTCTTTCACTGCCTAAAAAGAAGTCAAACCCAACAAAACATATCTTGTAGTAGTAGCATGTAAGTATGACTAGTATGATACTTATTGTATACAACATACTTTAAAAAGAGTATGACGTTAGACGTGGTCCCTCATATCATTGCATTTTCTTTTCTTTTTCCATACATGCTTTCAAATATGCTTTCAAATCGAGCCCGATGTTATTTAAAGTAGATTCTGCCCATGTGGCGTCACCAAAATAAATTTAAGACATGCACACAGAATTTTTTCAACGCACACATCATTTACGCTTTGATTTCTAGTACAAGTATAGTGGTTGAAAACAGGATCATTTGTTGCAACTGTTGCGTCATTTTCAGGGGGATTCCGGGGGACCGCTCGTTTGTAGTGGCGGGAGAGGGCGGTGGACGCTGGAGGGGGTGGTGAGCTGGGGGGAGGGGTGCGCACGGCCCAGGAAGCCAGGCGTCTACACACGTGTGTCCGAGTTCGCAGTCTGGATAGAGGATAACATCGCCGGGGTGCAGTTGTAGGGATCCCACCGCTGCCACCATTTGTAGGGCTGCAAAAGGAGAGGCTATAGAAGACACGTGTGGACTCTCTGGTTGCCTGCTAGAACTCAGACACTGGTCTGAGTCCTCTATTCATACAGTCATGTAATTAATCAGTTACAGATGTGGTCTGTCTATGACAACTTTCTTTCAAAGGGGACGGTCTCCTACAACACATTGATACACAGTGACATCAACCTACGGAAATACATGAACAAATTATACCTGTAATACATGTGAACTGTATTATTGACACAACAAAAGTACAACGAGTTTCGTAAGGCTAAGACTAAACATACAAACAGACACGTGTGTACAAAAGACTTAAGCTATGAACAAGACTATAGATGAATCAAGTTATACAATCATGTATGTACAGTATTCAGAAACGCAATTCACGGTTGTAGTATGAACTGTTGTCCACTACAAGAAATCAACAAGCCTTTTTATACAATTTGCATGTCTATGGTATTCACATGAAATAAATAATGTAAAAAGTAAAATGTAATCTTCAAGTAAATATGGAAACCTGGAAGGACCTGGGCTGATTTTTATGGTACCACCCAGAAAATAAAGGACTAATCTTGGGGCTGGTTTCTGTAGTTATCAATGCCCAAAGTATGAAATACTGATTCAAAAGTGCTAATGTGGGAGAGTATGTGTCAATTGGTATGTAGATTGCCTTATTCAGAATATTTTCAGTTTTATCGGCCTGAAAATTGCATTGGATGCCTTTTATCCACTATGTCCGGTGAACGCACAACTAGAGCCCTAATACGCTTCATTTACTTTGCTACAACACTGTGTATGATTGTGGAGGCGTTTTGAAATGTTTCTAGGCCATGTAAGGCCACAATATCTTAGTTTCATGGATGACATCCTCTGAAGATCGCCAAACTAGTGCGCGCGGGCGTTTTGCGGAATTTAGATAAATGAGTTGGCACTGTACTGAGTTCTGGAGTTCCGTGGTAGCCTGGGTACCATCCTCCGTAGTTACCACCGGCTCCCTATTGTCACTAGCTACCATGGATTACGGAGGATAGCATGCGCACCCAGGCTAGAGCCTCGGAGAAGGTGACACAGGCGAAAATCATTGCGAGCGCGGATGTCATCCATAAAACCAAATCAGTGTGGCCTAAATGCCAATGTGACATTTAGAGAGGAACCTACGTAGCCGGTGCATTAAGTACCTTTTAATGGGCCCAACGCACTGAACTAAAAATATGGACAACAGGTGGTCACTACTTAATAGGTCTTTGCAAAAAACCTAGCTGGAAAAGGTTGACTGTTTAGTGGAATATTGTCAAAGTACTATACACTTTCAGTATCTCTGAAACCATATCAAAGTCTTATAGAAAAGAATTCAAGATCAAAGAGCGGCATAAAATTGCGCATAACTCGACCAAAGATCTGTCATACAGCGTTACATCAAGCTTATAAACGCTGCCATTTGAGAAGCTTTGCTATAAGGCGTGTGCTCATTGACGTCATTCGGTAACCCCCTTTTAAAAGTCGGTGTTCACGAACGTGTGCTCTCGTCTGCTCCGCGCTTTCATCTGCCCTTTGGACCCTCGAACATTTTTCGGGCCGTTGAGTGGAAATTAGCTGAATGCCGGCTTAATTCGCAGGTGATTGGTCCGCTGTATCACGGCAAACAGGATGTGGAGCTTGAACGTAAGTCCTCGGAACGTTCCATCTCACGGGATGGGAAAGGTACTACGGAGGGACTAAAATTCTCAATAGATTATTACTACTATCTAATTCTATACACTTTTGATAACATTTAGTTATTGTTTTCTCTATGAAATGAATACTTAAGTAAGCAACCTGTTTGTAAGATATAATGCGTGGCACTACGTTTTGGTAAAAATACGTGTACACCTTTTTTCAAGTGGAGGCGCCGTATTTGCGAGGCTGGTGAAGTGTAGGCCCTGCCACGGAGCTTACTTATCGATCATTATACTTTACACAGGGAAGTAGGGGCCGGCCTTGTACACAAATCGTAGTGGGTGTTGAACAAACGGAGTAACAAAACTGATTTGTGTACCTTCTCCATGGCGTGAAATAACAAGGTTGTACGGGACACGGGAGACCTTACACCTGGCCGGCGGCGTCTGGGGGCTCAGGTTACCGCCTGCTCCACCTGCCATCACCCGGTAGCTCAACGGTGGACTATCTCAGCATATAACGTTTAGCTTGAAAAAAATACAACGTCCTTGGCCCCATCAACTAGTCAGGGACGTCGCGTGTCGTGAGTTTTGTCCGGGACTTTGAGAGCGTACAGACGTCGGTGGCTCTGTTCTGATAAAATATGGCGATCGCTCGGAGTGCAGGCGGCTACCCTGTGCGGGGAAACAGTCCAGCTGACGGCGGCTTCTCTCAGGCACAAGCTGGAGCAAGAGGTAGGCTCAAACTCTGACATTGTATATGTGACATGATGAGTTAAATCGATTTTGAATAGCGCGGCCTAAGCTATGAGTTTTCACTACTAGGGGGATGTCCGATTTAGACACCTGTCCTCTGTATTAGATATGTACAATGTCATTGTAACTGACAATGACAAGTATTGCACCTACATGGGCCAAATGCACTAGGTTAGATACACATGTAACTGGGGTATAATGGTTGGAGAAAGAAGTACTACATTACTATATTACGTCTATATCTATATGGGTCTCTATTATAAGTAATAGTTACAAAATCGACTTGATGCTTTCCAATTATATTGAGATCCTTATTTTCTATTCTCCATCTAAAAGCTTGTTTGAAATATTATTAGGGTTATAAATACATTATGATAATAACTGCACATCAATTGCTACAGTTAACTCGCCAATGTGCACTTTGAAGGAATGCAATGCAATTTCACGGCGGCAAAACTGGAAATATTCTGAACAATCTCTATGACACCGACACATTTCAAACATTACCACAATTGTATCAGTATTTCATACTTTGGGTGTTAAAACAGCCCAGAAATAAGGTCCCAATGAGTACTTTATTTCATCCCAGGATCCTACCAGTAACCGTTTTCCGTCACTATTCTCGACATTTTTTTCTCCATGAATATCCATATACATCGGGATTGTGTTCTTTAACTTAATATGTAGATAAGTAACTAGAATATTGACTTAAAGCATTGTTTTTCAAACCCTAAAACTGGGCATTAGACTCCTTTAAGTACATTTTCAATACTCCCCCCTTCAACCGGAGCTATTTCATCATATTTATCGGCATAATCATAAGATTTATGGGAATATTTCATACACAACAGGTGGGCGTTTTGGGAGCGTATCCGTGTTGGCCAGGTCAAGGAGGTCAAAGGGCAATTTTCCGTCAGCTTTTGTTGACTCTGAGGCTTACGGAACACAAAGGATAATGTCCTTAACGCCAAGCTTTAACTACATTGTAACAGCTGTAGTTGATACAGAACGCTTAAGCTTGTTCGTTTCGGTTAGACGTCTAAAACCAACGTTCATCCTTACTATATATATATGTAGATCATCATTGAATGAATATGTTTTTGTTGATGAGTGTCTGGTATGCTACCTTCAGTAACCTCTCTAGGATTGTGTGCACAAGTTATCCATATTCAAGTCCACTGTCTGTTTATAATTACAGAATTCCGAATCATTATTGTTTCATAAGGCTTAGGGCGTAAGCATAAGTGATGTTGCGTCGGGAAAGGTATGTGGTAGTTTTTTTTATTCCAACATATAATCACAAGACGTGGTGACGGCACACTCAAGTGTTTTAAACTTATATTAAATGCCGCCAACAACATAGGGGGCAATACAATACTCATTTTCAACTGAGCGAAGAGAGGAAAGTCGTGTAAAGGCCGGTGGCATTTCAGGACTCGAACCCGGGACCGCTTGGTTCCAAGTCGAGCACTCACACAACCCCACAGTCGTTTGTTGCTAAAACAGGTTGAACCGGAGTATCTGAAATCAAATAATAAGCAGGTCCTGTCCTTTAGATGTTTCTTGTTCTTGATGTCTCGGATTGATAAGATAGATCAGTCAGATCTTTGATGAGATGGAACCAAACAGATCAAAGGAAGACAACGCTGCCGGCATGCGTCTGTTCTCCACCTACACAACTGAACCGATATAGACTTTGTGAAACCTTTTGATTCGTTCACTTGTCGTTACTGGAGGGATCATTCCTGCTAAATGAACCGTAAACACAAGCACTGTGCTTGCTATGATTGTGAATAATTCTCATGTATACGTCCAGTGATGTCGAATGAGTTCATGGGAATCCAATACAATTGTAGGGTGGTAAAACAAAATTAAATCTTCTGGATGAAAAAAAATCTGTCTGATAGTGACATTTACAACTAAATAAACTGTCATTTATTAACAGATCATCGTCATTTATTCATACTGGAAGCGTATGCATAGCCCCAAACCAAGCTACTAGTATGTGAGGTGTCTCTTTAAGTATTGAGCACCGGCCATAAATAGCTAGTACCAGCCTACGCGTACGATTCAATATATTGAGCAACTGTTTTTCCGTCAGTGACATCACATTTTTGCCTCACAGATATTAGTAAGCTATACGACTGATTCAACCTATCAGACTGATCAGAAAATTGACTTTGAATATCCCGTTTTGTCGCCCTGAAATTGCATTAGATGCCTCTAAGCAACAATAATGATTGGGAATTCTGTAATGATCACACCTCGACTCGTTCCGTTGACTATGTTGGTTGACCGACATGTTTGCTCGTAGACTGGACGTTCCTTTGATATAAGCGGTGGCCACGGTAGCGTGTATTTGCACGAGATTGAAAAGTTTGAGGGGTAAACATAATAAAAGGCATATCGACAGGCCGGCCGTACTTTGGACACGTTGTACGTATCTTGATTTAATGGCCATGGTGAAGCCCATCATTTGGTTTTGACCACAGATAGTGTTGTGAGCGTACTCTGAGAGTGTCTGTCAGCTATCATTATACTATACTACTAGTAGTAACTGAGACAGAGGGTGCTAGCTTATTTTTTACTAGAAATAGGCGTAGAATTATTCTCTCACTGGCGAAATGGTCATGAAGATAACACTGTGCTATATTTATGAGTAATTCTTAATATGTACGTTCGGCGATGTCGAGTGAGCTTAATGGAACCCAATGCAATGCAATATCAGCGTGGCAAAACAACACTATCTTTCTGTAGAAGTTACTTTGGTCCCCAGTCATTTCCAGGCCATACCTCGGCACTGTACGTAAGGTTTCTATCCCCGCCTAGCCAGTTTAGGTCACCCCGGTCATGTTTGTCCACTTGAATTCACTTAACAGCCTTATCTCACCTAGAATGCCCGGCAATAAACTTTCCTTGGGGGTACGGTGCCAAAAACGTTGGCCTGTGCAAGCCCCGGCAACAGCCTGGATTGCGGGCGTATTTTTATTTTTTTGCATAACCGGTAAACCGCCTTTTTAGGCGTAACACACCCGTTTTGTACATGTAGTACAAGCTGCATAAGACAAGACTGTAAGGTTTGAACCACTCACACCGGGAAGGTCACGAAGCTCTTTTCGATAAGTGCTGTTGGTTCTTTAACGTGCATGGGATGCGGCTAGTGCCCTAGGTACTCATTTCCACCTGAGTGAAGTGAGGAAAGTCATGTAAAGTGCCTTTCCCAAGGGCACAGGATCGGTGGCATCGGGCAGGATTCATCATTGATTTTTTAATGAGAGAACCGATTGAAAAATGATAAGCATTACAATTTTCTAAATGTAGTAAAGTACAGATACTTGACCTTTCTCCTACTAACCATTACCTGCACTGCTGGTGGTCTTATAATCTACACAATGGTTGCCAGCGCGTCGGTTAAGTGTATAGTCACTTATTGAACATTGTAACATAAGTGTTTTGCTTCAAAAGTACTTTGTAAGAACAATACAACTAACTTGATCGTAGGTGTAGTTCCACATGTATATTGTAATCGTAAGCTTATGGTGTTTTGATCTTATTTCATGTTTAGAGCTGCATGTACAAGGAAATTCTTAACCAAAGGTATAGAACCACGGTCAAAGCACAAAGGTTAAAATTTGAAAGAGAATGCTTGCACAGATTTATCTTTTATCGCCTTGGATCGGCCATGACTCGGTAGCCAAGTCTAACTTGAGATGTTGATGTTTTTATGGTAATCGATGACTTCTGTAGGGGGTACGTGTATAAGGCGTACCGGACTGAACAGAAAGTTCAATCCCTGTGTAAACGTTAACGTTACACCGGGCTTTTGTATTGTCCTTGTAAGCCCACTCGTGCCCCAACCACGTACACACACCACTCGTGCCCTAAGGCCTAGGAAAAAATGTTGTGTTTCCATTTTTCCGACCGCCCCCCCCCCAAAAAAAATGCCTTTTTTGTGTAGACCCCTGCAAGTGATATGAACTGCTGATTGACCTTTTCTAGCTCCATAATCTGACACCTGAGTGATAAAACGTTGTACAAACGGTTTTCCAACATTGGCATTGAAAAGATGTGTCCTCATTCAAGTTTTACTTTATTAAACTGTATTCATAAGTTGGATCACTAGAGATCGCCAAAGTCGCCCTACCTACCGACCCTATTTTTTTTAGGACTGAAACAGGAAACACAGCATGTTTTTTCCTAGGCCTAACCACGTACACACGCCTCTTCACAACACTTACCTACCGATGACCTTGAATGAGAGCACTGAACTTGTTCTAGAGGGGACTCTTATATCCTCTTTCTAGTAAATTTATCTATTTTCTCTCTTAAACAACACCTGAGTGGCCCATTCAACATTAATATAAATTTAAAAAACATAGAGAATAATTTCACATCTACTTTAGTAAAAAAAATGAGTTAGCACTTCTTTATATCATTTTACTAGTAGTATGATTATGAAGAACATGAAATAAATAATTATCAAAACCTTTCCAACTATCACGTTTTCTGACCAGAAATTATTTACAGATCTAAATTAATGTGATAAATAAGAAATCAAGTCTACTTCAAAGTTAGGGTACCCCATTGAATATGTAAATTATGAAAAATATGTATAGAAAATTTGATTGTCAAAGATTAGAAGTTCTACTAATAATCTAGGGCAGCTATATGAACAGCATTGAAGACATCACTTGAATGAGAACAAGCACAGTAAGCAACTTCATTCAGAAGTGGTTTCAGCTTTCAAAACAACATAATAAGGGTGGGAACGTAACGTATTGCTACACAATATCAACGCCAAACAGCAAGGTGTTTTCTATAAATTGTTTTGAATGTAAGACAATTATTTTCATCAAACGTTCCATGGTTAGTCAAAAACGAAGCAAATATTTTAGTGGAAGTTTCTTTTTTGAAGTTTTAATGTATTAATATAGTACAAGATATGAGTCATCTATGGTTGGAATAATCCATGATAATGTTCGTTTCCAAAAGCACGTACTCCGGATCCAGAAGAGGCAAACAAAGTCATGGCCACAGCTGTGCAAACTGTAGTGAATGGCGGGAAAGTCGTCTGGTCACATATTGAGTGTGACGTCAGGTCCACCGTGCTAGTAGGCCGACATTAATAATATCGTTGGGCAATATTTTTATTGCGATTTTTGCTAATTGTTAGCTGCATTGTACGATTTGCAGTATGGTCGAAACCTTTTTTTGAGATGGACGTGTGGATGCCATGCGCGCGTGGATGCCGTCCATATTATGAACTCAACTTGGCCTTAGATACAAGAGAACATAGACAAAGTACAAAGTGGCATTGTACTCATGTTTGAAACACGTAATAAAAACCTTGCCGCTTAACACATATCTGATTCAACCATCTGCGGTCGGTGTTAAAACAACATAACTATATATAGGTCCACATTGTAACAACAGCGTCTCGTTTCTACGTAACGTAAGGATGAATGAGAGTGAACTAAGGTTATCGATCGATATCAGGTGCTTTTATGATATCGATATATTTACTCTATATACACGGCCGCAGCAGCTGGTGTTAAGTGGTTGAACAGCTTCTCGGTTACATACAATAGCGTCATTCTTAATGACGTGTTTTATGTTGTGTAGCGGGGCTATTCCAATTTTCTACAAGAAGGTTTTGTGATGTAACATTTTCGACACAAAATGAGGGGACATCTGTATGTATATTAACGTAGGATTGCAATACATATAAGGGTGTTTTGCCATTTTGATTTTGATGAATTAGTAATAGTACCTTGTCTGTAAGGGTATAGACATGTGATGGATTTTAAGAATTACACAAGATTTGTATCATGCCCTATCAGCACGTGTTGCAAATAAACCAGTCATCATCAAGGTGTGATTGAACTGAAAATCAACGGGATAAACGAAGAAATACATTTCTGTCGTGCACTTTTATGTTCAGGTTAATTGTAGTAGTAGTAGTAGTAGTAGTAGTAGTAGTAGTAGTAGTAGTAGTAGTAGTAGTAGTAAATAGCAGTGGTGGTAGTAGTAGTATAGTAGTAGTAGTGGTGGTAATAGTAGCAGTAGTACTCGTAGTAGTACATGTTAAGGAGGCTAGAAGTTTCATGGTATTGCATGGAGAAGAGGTTAAAACCCGGATGTTTTCACTCAGTCACACGTCCATGATGTGTGTTTACACTATCTCCACTGTTTGTTGCCAATAGATATGATATGTTTACGTTAGAAATGTGTGCAACAAACATATCGACGCAACCTTCGCATTGTAAGCTTATCGCTCTAACGCATCTGTCTAAGTAGGCGAAGCTGACCTTGTAGTTCAGCTTTACCTCATTAATACAAAATCTACCCCTGGACTTGTTTGCTGACGAAATCTGTACGGTATATTGTTTGATTAAAGGGAGGCGGGCTGCATTAATTTTCTACCCATTCCAAGATTTCCAAGAAGATAATCAACAGTTAGCCAACACACTGCTCTTTAATTAATACCTGAGCCAGAACGTTAAACTGTATTTTGATGCTGTATTATGTAACATTTGATTTAGTACGATAGAAATTTATTTTCTGGACATTTCTTTACGAAATAAATTGAATCAACTCCATACTCCACTGTAATTAAGTTAAGTCAGGAAATGTAGGTGCCAAAATATTACACCATACGAGAGTGTTTAAAAGCTTGAAACACAACTGTCAGCCATGTTTGTTTACATTCTGGTGGTTTGTAGTGATCACAAAATGTGTGTGCCTCTTTTTTTTCTGACGCTGAACAAAGTATGATGTTGCCGTGTGCTAGAAACGTCGGAAGTAATGTTTCAGTTGCTGAGATTAATTTGTTTATGACGCCTTGGGGACGTCATTGCACAAGAACACGTTGTAAAATATATTTTAATAATGCATGTCTGATGTCGTAAAATATATTGTTTAGACGGATACAACATGTTAAGCAAACATTCTACTACAATTGCGTACTACTGCTGCATGGGCCTACAGCTTTATCCTAACGGGCTTACATCACTATTGCGTTGCGCAGTGGATGGCCTAGCCTGTGTGCTATCCGATTTGTAATGGCAACCCCGAAATTTTTT